AGAGGATGTGTTGTTTTATGGATTTCTAAAGGCAAAGTTGCCTTTTCAACTACGGCATCTGAATTTCTTACGTTGGCTTTGACATGCAAGAAGTTGATTGGCTAAGGAATCTGATTATTTAGATTCCGATTTGGCCAAAACCGATGTCACCAGTTTTAGTACATTATGACAGTGCTACTACACTGGCCAAAGCATATAACAATAAGTTATAATGGCAAGTTAAGACACATAGGCATGAGATATAGCTATGTGCGGGAGCTCCTAAGTTATTGTGTTGTAGCATTGGACTTTGTACGGTCCCGGTTTTAACGGATCCGTTTGCAAGAGTCCTTGCAAGGGACATGGTTCATCGGAAGGGATACGGAAAGCCTAAATTAAAATTGTAAGTGAAGGAAAGCTCAACTCACGTCTAAGTTATTACGTTAGACCTTGAGTTCAATGTAGATGAGTACTTCATTTTGTGATTTGCAAGCATCAAAAGTTTAATTAAAAATGTATCCAAAGAAAAGGTGATGCTTGGTTCTGCATTGTAGTAGGGATGAGTTTTTACTCTTAACTGATCTTTTGAAAAAATGCAAGATGCAGTGCATGAGTTAAAAGATTAGCCTCTGTGAGCATGAAGTGTGGCCGCTTCAAACAAGTTTGGGCTTTACTTGGTACGTGCTCATTAATGGATACGGACACATGGCCTTTATAGTGTCAAGTTACAGTGAGTTGTAATGACTGTAAAACTTGTGTGTGTTATATCTACGTTTCTTCAAAGAGACTGCGTGATTCAAGGTTCGTCCATCACTGCAATCCAAATTAATGTAACGCATATAACACTATGTGAAAGTTCAATCTCTAAGACACTTTCATTTATGCATGAGTTTTGGATTTATCTTAGTAAAGTATTAATTTTTACTATATAAATGGAGGAGGAATGTTGGAAATTTATATAGTAATGAAGATTAATGTTTCAGATGTACTACCATGAAACTTAAATAATATTTGGAGTTGTGGAGTTATAAATATTATTTTAGTTTGGTAGAAAGCAAGTTGGGAAATTTGAATGTTACGTACGTTTGGAACCGAATATTACTCAGGTTGATATGCAATTCGTTGGTTTTAATGATTTGTTGGTGTAAACGAATCATTTTGATTTGTAAATAAAAACGAGGCTAATACTACATGTAGTTCCTATATATATATATATATATATATATATATATATATATATATATATATATATATATATATATATATATATATATATATATATATATATATATATAGACTCCGGTTCCCATGAGGTCACCTAGATGGATGAGATTATAAGATCTCATCTCATCCCTTAAATCATTACAAATAGAAGGGTGAGATTGAAAGAGAATTGTAATGTAATTAAGGTAGTATTTTAAACATAAGGGTGAAGAAGTAATTCTAATATTGTTGTTATTTTATATTATTAATTTTTTTTGAAACCATATTGGTGTTATTTTTGGTTACAAATAAACCGTAATATTTACCATCTGAATAGATGAAATATTAATGGTAATAGATATCATTAATTTTGTGTTGAGAGCTGTACTAAACCCATCGTGAACAGAAAGAGATTGAAGGAGTCCTAATTTCCAGTCGCGTGAATGGCGAATACGGCGACAAATATGTGCATTCGAACTGGTTTTGAATTGGAGTATGTTCGTAAGTCTGTGCAATTTGTAGGTTTAGTGAGTGCGTTTGTTAGTTCTATCTTGTGTGTGCAACTCCATGCCCTCGGAGTGAAATGGACTGATTTCAAAAGGTGAAGTGTAGGTATGACTACCCAGTATTAGAAAAGGGATATGTTGGTGTGTGCGGGAATTGTGAAATGTGGTTGCATTACGTTAAATTGTAGCTTTATAATTAGCATTACGTAACATAGGTACGACGTGTGTTTAAAATTGCTTTGTATGCAGCGCGACCTCTGTTTTGTTATAAAGTGTTATTGGACCCTTGTTTAGACGTTTGTGCCAAATGAGGTTATAGGTTTTTATTTATGATAAAACAAAATATATAAGAAGTTGGTGAATGGGTGGAGTTTTCATCTAGCCCCGTAATGTTTGATATGAGATGTGTGCACGGGAGGTTTTAAGCCTGTGCAAGGTACTGATCAGCCAAAAGAATTGAACGACCTTCTAATTTTGAATATATGTGTAATGAACTTATAACTTGTTGAAAGTGAGAGCGTGTATATCGATATTTTATTTGTGCATGATTTTCGGAATTCGGTGTTAGACGAGATGTTATGGATAATTATATATTGTTATTAAACCACATGAAGATTAATGAGTGCATTGATTTAATGATGACGTGTGCTGTAATATGTATTCAAATACAAATCATATGTTATAGGTGTGTGCAGTGCAGAACCCAGCGGTGAAAACAGAAAAAGTAAAGGACTGTGGTATGGATGTTACTCTTGTTGGTACGAAATATTGGTTGACGGAATGCGACCCAAGTTTCGAACTTGCCCGCCATTCTTTCAATGTGTCGCTCACATCATCTTTAAGTATTTTGGTAATAACCACACCTCCGCAAGGCAACCCCAAAGTGGCATGCACATCCTTCTCTGTGACCGGGATTACTGTCCCATTTTCCAAACGCACGCACATGTTCGAGGGATCAAATTTACTCAGCAGCCAAAGCGCTTCAGTTGCGAAACTAAATGCTTTGGTGATGCACGAATGTTCAGAGATAGGAATATAACCACACCATCCCCACCGGACCTACTTGCGCACCATCCAAAGGCGGCTGTACCTGAGCAGAGGTAGACACCGCGACGGGGGCAACTGGTGGAGACCCCACTTGCACACCATCCAAGAGCGGCTGTACTTGAGCAGGGGTAGACACCGCGATGGGGGGAACTGGTGGAACTACTTGACCAGTAGGCGATCCTGCACCAGGAGGGGCTACAAACACCTCCGAACTGTTCTCTACAAGGAAGACAATCAAACAAGATAACTTTCCCAGCCACAAAAAATAAAAGATGAAACAAACTCACCAGCAAGTTAATTCGCACATGCCATAACAATGCACTGCACACCACAAAAATACAAAAGAACAAACCTAGATGAACTATTGCACAGAGTATGTATTGTCTACTCTACCACCAAAAAAATTTTAAAAATAGAGAAAAGAAAATGAATGTGACAGATTATATAGATAGAATACCCAAAAGTTACAAAATTAAACAAATTGCTTAAGACGCACACACCATAATAGTGCAATGCACACAACAATAATAGATGACGTGTCAACAATAACCCAGAAAAATCTACATGAAGAATCTCAAAAAGCAAGGTGCAGTTATACTTGTGTTTTTTTTTTTTGTTTTTTTTGTTTTTTTTTTTTTTTCTGAAGCACACCAATAACCAAAATGAAAGTGAAATTCAAAAACCTATTTATAACAAAATTGAACGTATACCACATATAAGAAAATAACATGCATTTTCGAAACAACTGTACCAATTAATTCCTATACCATACACTTTATTCCAATATCGCATCGTGACAAATTATATAGAAGACACAAATGACACAAAAATAACGCAATTGATTATTTCGCACGCACCATAATAGTGAAATGCACACAGCAATAATAGATGACTTATAAACAAAAACTAAGAAAAACCTAAATGGAGAATCTCAAAAGCAAGGTGCACTTATAGTTAATTTTTTTTAAAAACAAACCCAATGACCAAAATGAAAGTGAAATTCAAAATCCTATTTATAACGAAATCGAACTTATACCACACATAAGAAAATAACATGGCATTTCCGAAACAACTGTACCAATTAATTCCTATACCATACACTTCAATCCAATATCACACCGTGACAAATTATATAGATGACACAAATGAGACAAAAATAACGCAATTGATTATTTCGCACGCACCATAATAGTGAAATGCACACAGCAATAATAGATGGCATGTAAACAAAAACCAAGAAAAACCAAAATGGAGAATCCCAAAAACAAGGTGCACTTTTTTTTTTTTTTTTTTTTTAAACAAACCCAATGACCAAAATCAATGTGAAATTCAAAATCCTATTTATACCGAAATTGAACTTATACCACACAAACTAAAACAACATAACAACAGTACAAATTGAGACCTCTACGCACAAACCCAAGAACCATAGCATACACTTCAATTCAATATTGCTACCAACAGAAAAAAAATATGTAAACTTTTTTTAAAAACACTGAATTAATCACCAAACAAATGAACGATAAAGACGCTGAAATCCTATAACGCACACACCACTACCTAACATTAGTGCAAGCACACACCCCCCCCCCCTCGACTAAAATAAAGTCCTAAAAAAAACACCAAACGGCGGGAACCGAAACCATTCCCCCACCCATCAACGCCATCCCGGAGCACCACAAAACACCAGCACCATCCCCCCACAACCACACAACACCCCCCCCCCCAACTGGAAATAAAGAAGCTGAACACACCAAATGCAGAAAAAAAAGGAAAAAAAAAAAAACCATTACCCCCATGCCGGACAGAATCCAAAAAAAAAAAAAACAAAAAATTACATAAACCCAACAACTCACACTTCCCTTGCCGAAACCCTACCCACTGCACCGCCAATCAACCCCAACAAGACCCCCCATCCCCCTCCCCCCTAAACCCGCGAAAAACATGTCCGTGCAAAAGTTCTCCTAGCTCAGAAAATGCCATTACCCGAAAAAAAAAAGTAGCAAAGCACTAGACTGAATAAACCCCGAAAAAATGCCGAAAAATAAACCCTAATACCAGGCTAAAAACCCACCCCCACAGCCCGGAAACTAACAGACCAAAAACCCCCGCCGGCATTGGTCTCGCCGTAGACATGCAACATCAGTACAAAAAACAAATAAACGTAAAAACACCAATCAAACCAACGCGGCTATCGGAATACCTGGAATGCAACCAGAAGACCCACCCCTCTGACGCTTGGACCGCTTGTTGGTAGAACTCGCCATGACGATTGCTAGAACGGCACAGGCAAAGAGGACTGGCGTCGGCACTTGCCTAAAGAGACCGAATAGAGAAGAAACGCAATGCAGAGGAGATCGAAAGATGCCAAAAGACCTTACGGGAGAAGAAATGCCACACGCAAAGGAGAGTAGGCGAAGAGATGACAAAAATATTCTAAATATCCTAACATCCGATTTAAACCATAATTAACCCTGCACAAGCCCATAAAATCGGGTAAGTAATTACTACAGCCTAATAAAGATATAAACAAAAAGACATTAATGCCCTTAATTCTACAAATAACCTAGCGCACGTGGCCATATGCTACATTAAATCTGGAACGTTCAAAGATGCAAATAAACGTACAAGATTGAGCCTCACGACCTCACCTGCAAATGCTAACCTCACCGGATCCAACAAGATTCAAACACCCCACTAGTGATCTCAGTCCTTGCTTCTTTAATAGAGAGGATCCTAACTAGGAATGAGAGAATCTCCAAGAGTTTCACCAATTGGGGTCTCCCAAAGGATGGCAGAACAAGGGTGTTTGAGTGCCATGGAACCCCAGATATGAGCATCCAATCATATCTGGAGAGAATTTTCAGGTACACCAGAGCTGGACCATCAGTTTATGTGGTTTCCTATGTCTACATAGATAGGTTCTCCCATCTCCACCCCAAGTTCAAAATCACGGCCACAAATGTTCACAGGTTCCTCATTGCCACCATCATGTTGGCTTCGAAATACGTTGAAGACATGTAAGCTAAAAACTCTTTCTTTTATCTTAACTAAACCCACCATATATAACTCTGACATACACAATACTGATTGTTGGACGGAAATTAGTAAAGGGTCTAAGTCCATAAATTGGTGGCTAGGAGGATTGTTGGGCGGAGGCGGGCCAAGTTCGGCATCCTACTTCCCGAAAATGTGATGATGATCTATAAGAAAAAAAAAGTTGTGCATTCGCAACTAGCAATAGCTTTTGACGTAGTGGTAAACGATTGATCCTAACAAGTAGTATCAGAGTTATTAATTAGGTCACGGGGTTCGAGTCTCGAGTCGTCCCAGAAATAGCAAAAAAAATTGTGCAGTTAATTAAGAGCCAAGTCCAGCACCCTCTCACAGGATAGAGAATTGTTGGGCGGGGGCCGGTGAAGGGCCAATTCCAACACACTATCTCTAAAAAATGATGTCGGTTTATCAGGATAAGAAAATAAAATTAAACATTTGCTACTAGTTATAGTTTTTGATATAGTGATAAACGTTTGATAGTAATACAATTTAATTATTAATTTGGATAGGAGTTACAAAAATGCTTGACACAAATTACAAGTGTGTTTTTTTTTTTTTTTTTTTTTTTTTTTTTTTTTTTTTTTTTTTGTTACTGACTCTATTATATAGTGTAGTATCAAAGAACCAATAACGCCTCCACTGAGCCTTGAACTCATAACCTCCCAAATGAGAGTCCAACCCGGGTGCCATAAGACCACAAGGTCTTGGCATGCAGTAGTTAAATATATAGGAGATTTTTTTTTTTTTTTTTTTTTTAAAAAGAGGCCTCTTAGATTTATTTCACTGTACTTGTGACACTCCAATCTAAATGCTAATTGGGATTAATTAAGGAATTAATCCTAGTCTTCCTAGGTAATCCCTTCCTAAAAATCCTGAAATTTAATAGTCGAGGGACTAGAATTTGACTACTCTCTTAAGTCAACCAAGTGTACCTTATGCCTTATGTTTTGTACCTTTACCCTTTTGTCTTTCCAACCTTAGTAAGGGTAAAAGTGACCTTTCACCTATGATTTGTTGTTCAAGCTATCCCTAGCAAGTCATTCCTTTCATTTTCTCATTCTACCCTAAGTTCCAAACACTCCATCATCTCTCTAAAAAGAACCTTTGTGACAGCTAGTGTTACGGCCTTTAATTACGGGATATGGTTTCGAGTTCCACAAGAGATCTCGAGATTGAAAAGTTGCCTGTGTATCAGTGGGGGGGGGGGGGGAGGGGGTAGTGGGGGCATGGGTGCCCGCCACCTACCCACTGCCCGTGTGTTCTGTTCCAGCGGGCAGGCGACTGCCCGCAGGGAACCTGCTGAAACAGTGAGTCGCCGCCGGCGGGTGGTCCTCCACCCGCTGGAAACTAGTCATGGTTCGTGATGTTTTCCCCCGTTTGTTGTTTCCCCGTGTCCCGTTGTGTCCTGTTGTACCCCGTTTGTCGTGTATGAGTCCCGTTTGATATTTTGAATACCGTTCTATGATTTTATGTGTAGTACGTGTCGTTGTTGTTATGTCTTGATTGTTATTGATTGTGTGTGTGTGTTGATTGATTGAATGATGATGAGTATCGTGGTCATTGCGCAATGGCCAGTGTGACTGATGATGATGATGAGATTGTGATTGGTGGAAATGAATTGTTGGCGGTTGGCACCACTTGTGCCCCGTCATTGTACTAAAGGTATAGGCCATAGCGGTGACTGTGCTAAAGGCACACACCCACCTTAGACTTGCTTGCCGTAGAGCATGGGTCAGATTATAAGTGCTGCGGTGTCATGTTAGAGCTATATGCGCTAACCCCTTGATAGTGGCACTAGAGGTGCAGATCATTGAATGGCACTGCGGCACCATCTTGATATGTTGGTGGTTGAAAGGTGGTTTGTCGGTGGGGGTATTTAATTGCCCGGAGGCATAAGGGTGGTGATATAAGGGTAGCCTGGAGGTATAGGTTGGAACTGATATAAGGACGGAGGGGAGCTACAAGGTTGGAACTTGGTATAAGGTTGGAGGATGAATTATGTGCTTGATGACTACTTGCTAATTGATTGTATTGAATGCCTGAGTTGCCTCTACTTATTACTTGTATGCTTATCTGACTGTCATATCTTATATTGCATGCTTTGGGTGCCTGTTAGTTCTTATGATTATCCTATGATATTAAGTCTGTTGATATGCCTTGAGTCGTAGTCTTGGATTTAAACTAGAGTCTCGTAAGAATATATGTATTCCAGTTTCAAAATGAGTTTCTTATATCTACCTATATTGTATTTAACGAGTTGGAGTGGGTTACCAGCATTATTCACTGACGGTTGTTACACCGAATGTTTTTCAGGTAATGAGCATTAGCCTCGAAGCACGCTAGTCAGAGCCTTGGACTTAGATTAATTATCCTTAGCTTAGTAGTTGGCCTGTGTGCCTTGGGATTGTATTTAAATATTGAATTAAGACTTTATGATGCTTAGTTAACTTAGCCTGTGCACCTAGTTTCTCAAACCTAGGTGTGGCATAACACCCCGACACTTATGGTTAGCTCTATGCCCTGTTTGGGATTCGATCAATGAATTTGCCTTTATTTTATAAGTTTTAAATATCTCAAAATTCAGGGGTGTTACAGTTGGTATCAGAGCCTAAGTTCGACCCTAGGACAATGCCTTTAGGATAAGACTTTGTGACATTAAGCTTGAACTCTAGGTGCTTACATACTTAGAAAGTTAAGAATTAGACTTTAAGAATCTAGGCTGCAGCTAGGATGACACTCTGTTAGGAATAAAGTGTAATGGTTTTGATATGCCAAATTTGTATTTGTAGATCCCCCAATTTTATTTCATAGGTCTAGTAGAGTCTTAGACCATGATCGGAAAATTATTTAATTATGAAAAGAGAAAAACAGAGGAAGATGGATGAAAATAGAAGAAGAAGATATAAATCCGAAAATCAAGAATTTGTCTGGAGAAAATGACAAATTGAAGAAGAAGATGAATGATACAATAATTCACGTCAATGCTACTCAAAGAAGATATCCCAGAAGAATTTTCGTGAAGAAAATTAATGTTGGAAGAATGCATGAAATTGACTTGGAGATCAAGCATCTATGGAAAGAAAAGAGTACATCAAATATGATTGGAGATTTAATCAAAAGCTGTACGGACGAAGTGGATGATGCTTGATATATTATGCGAAATGGCTCAAGTTCGAAACTCACCATTAACAATTTTACAAGGTAAAATTTGAGAAGCCAAATTAAATTAATCTGATGGAGTTGGGCGCTCGTTTAAGCTTTGGGCGCCGCCCGATTACAAGTGGAAATTGGGAAGCAATTTCACTTGGGTGGCAATTGAGATGCAATTGCACTTGGGAGCCAATTCAAAGGAATTGGGATCTCAATTGCACTTGGGAGCCAATTCAAAGGAATTGGGAGCCGATTTCATAGCAATTGAAATTGGGAGCTAGTTCGAAGCAATTGAATTTGGGAGCAAGTTTCACAATTCAAGATGGGGGCCAATGTAGAATTGAAATTGGGAGCCAATTCAAAGGAATTGGGAGCCGATTTCATAGCAATTGAAATTGGGAGCTAGTTCGAAGCAATTGAATTTGGGAGCCAGTTTCAGAGAAATTGAAATCAATTGAAATTGGGAGCAAGTTTCACATGAGAATCAATTCAAGATGGGGGCCAATGTAGAATTGAAATTGGGAATTGAAATTGGGAGCCAATTGAGGTTGTAGTATGGGATGCAATTTTTGTAGTATGGGATGCAATTTTTGTAGTGTGGGATGCAATTTCAAGTTGGGGACCGATTCAAAGAAGACATGGAGATCAAATTGAATTGAGATGAAAAGGAGAAGTTTGGGAGCCAATTTCAAAGTCAAAGTCAACAATTAAAATTGGGAAGCAATTGAAAGCACCAGGAGCAGTTTGGGAGCCAATTGCAAGTCAAAGTCAATTGGGAGCCAATTACAATGGAGAAATTCAAATTGGGTGCCAATTACAAGCCAATTGAAATTGGGTGTCAATTACAAAGGAGAAATTCAAATTGGGTGGAAGTTCAAAGCCAGTTTGAAGTCTAAGAACACCCAGACGTGAGAATGAAGAAGATGAAGATGAACTTACAGTGAAAATATTCTCACAAGGAAAAGTACTAGTTTAACTAGTATGGGATTAAATTGAAGAATATTTTTAAATCCCAAAGATACAAAGACCACTTCAGAGCTAATCAGAGAAGCCGTTCTACACCCAGATATTCCCACTCAACGTAAAACCAGAGGAAATATCAGATGAAGTTTGAGAACCCATTTACATGGAGATGAAGCTCTAACAACGGCTAGCTTATCCTTTCTGACATCTTTGCAGAAGATAAGATAAGATCTCTGACAAAAAGATACAAGATTTCAAAAATGAGAGCGTCTCTTTCCAACGGACAGATTCTCATTACCAGCTATAAAATGATGAAGATATGAAGACTTGAAGAGTAGAAGAGCATACAAGAAAGCAAGAGCAGAAAATTCGAAACTCATCAAGAGATCGAATAGAGCAATTAAGCTTGAAAGAGCATAGAGCAAAAATCTCATTTGGTACAGAGCATACCAAAAATCTTCAAGTGAGAAGTGAGAAAAGAAAAAGAACTCAGAGAGCTTCAAAAGAGAAATATTCTAAGAGTTCTTAAACAGAGCAAAGCAGAGCAAAAATATCAAGTGCTTTACTTGATATATTCACAGAGAGAAAACACTCAGAGCTATCAAGAGAAATCATTCCAGAGTGTTTATCTTCATCAAAGAGACCTGCGCATCATTGAAGATCATCTACAGAGTCTCAAAAGTTGGAAGCAAGACAACACTTGTTTTGGAGCAAAACAAGAGAAGGGAGGAAAGTAGCACGGAGCTGTGAAATCCTGGATTGTCACACGGAGCTGTGAGATCCGAAGCAGCAGTGTCGGAGGCACTGGGCGTGATTGGTGTGGGCTTGGTGATCAAAGTACCAGATCACGGGAT